TCAGGAACATTGCGGGGTCTTCAGGGAAGTTTCTTTCGACTGCTCCGTAAACCGTCTGGCTTCCCACTTGCTCCAAAATTTTCTTCCAATCTACCATAGCGAGTTTCTTCCAGCGTCTCCAGAAAAATTTAGCCGTCTTCTCCAGGATGTTCAATTAAACTTATACCGGATCTCTCTATCAAATTCTTCCAAAAGTTTCTTTCGTCTTCATTCGGAAGTTTCTCCAGCATTTTCTCCAAATCTTGTTCCAAATCATTGGAATATTTTCTGAATTCTTCACTGGTGGCCACGACAGCTGCACGTGGGTGATAATTTTTCACTGGTTTTGTTGATGGAACTGACACCGACGGTTTGAAAAAAGCCCTTTCAAAACAATCTTCGGTAGACTCTTTGGATTGCTGTAAGATGTCACTTGGCGCATCATGCATGATGGTTTCCGGCTGTTCTTTCTCTTCTTCTTCTTCTTCTTCTTCTTCTTCTTCGCATTTCAAGCTTATTGCATATCGCATATCAGCTTATTGCGTGCTCTCAACTTAGTGTTCTAGATGCACTTCCACAGTTATTAATTGAGAGCTTTCGATGCCTGCACCATTTTTGCATTGGTATAATTGTGTGGCAAGTCCAATCATAATTCTATGCCCAGGGAAGTCGAGAAATTTTCCAACCCGAAAAATTCCTAGACCGAACCGGGAATCGAACCCAGCCACCTCCAGCATGGTCTTGCTTTGTAGCTGCGCCTTTACCGACTGAGCTAAGGGAGGCCCCAGGTTTCCGGCTGTTGCCTCTTGCTTATTTAAAACGGTTGGTCTTCCTGGACGCATTACTTCCGAAGTGCCAAGCAGCGTTGCCAGATATACCGATTTATCGGTATTTATACCGATTTCCGAACTAAATACCGATATACAGATAAGGTTCCTCAGAATACCGATTTTTGAGGTTTTATACCGATTTTTTTATAAATAATCAAAATGATTATTGCCTGCCCGCGCTCAGAATTTCGGAGAAAATTATTGTGAGAGACTTGTATCTTTTTGAATATCTAAAAAAAAAATTGAGCCTTTAAAATTACGAATCGATAAACAGTCGATGGTTCTTTCTGGTAATTCCGGTGGAATCGGGAAATACTTTTTAAAAAATGATTTAACTTCCTGAATTTTCTTCCACCTTACATCGTAAATTATTTTACGATTCCTCTCGGAAACTTATTTTCAGTTATTTTCATTTTAAGTTCAGACTTTTGAGTCCAAAGAACTTCTGGAAAATTAAATGGTTTTCAGGACAGTTCCATTAGTTTCAGGAGGATTGAGAGAATTTTGGGAAGCTCCGAGGACAGATCAATAATATTCAAGGAAATTGCTGAAATTTTAAAGGAGTTCTGAGAAACTCAGGCAATTTCCGAAAACTTCAGCAATGTTCCGAGGGACTCATACAAATTTAAGAAACGTAATGGAAGTTACATGAACATTAGCACATTGTGAGAACATTTTATGGTAAGTTCCGTGTCTTTTAAAAATTAGAAAAATCAGGAAGATCAGAGAACTTTATTGCTGATGTTACATAAAGTCAAGAAAATTGTGAGAGCGCTTAAGAAATTTCGTAATCTTCGAGAAATTCTAGAGACCTTCAAAGTTGATTAGAGATATTCCGGTAGTCTCATTATAATCTGTATATTATATCAAGTATTTCAAAGATGATCAGAGTACCTCAGAACAGCCCTATTAACTTAAGAAAAATTACAAGAACTTTTAAGGAATTGCGAGAAAATATGGAATATTCCTAAGTACATTTCAGTAATGTTCCAAAAACCATTTGGAAAATTTTCTGGATCATTAGAACATTCCCAAGAGCTCTTTCTTCCGGAATTATGTCCTTGTTTTTTTGGACTGTCCGGTTAGCGCTCTGGCTTCCGATTCCCTCCAAAAAAAAATCCAATCTACCTTAGCAAGTTTCTGTCAGCGTGTCCAGGAAGTTTTTTCCGTTTTCTTCAGGAAGTTCAATTAAACTTCTCCCAGAAATTTCTTTCGTCTAGTTCTGGAATTTTGTCCAGTTGGTGTGCAGTTGATGTGCAATAAATGCGATTTTTGGCGACTACGGTACCGTCAAAATGGCACCCTTAACGTGTTCAGAAGTACTTGTAACCATTCTAGCATGGTGCATTGTCTTGTCCCGTGGGTGTGGAGAATGACAATAACGGGATCAGAATGCGTTTAGTATGCTTTTTTGGGGTTCAACCGAAGTGAAAAAAATGCATTTTTGGCGATTTTTGTAGCATCAAAATGGCACCCTTAACGAGTTCAGAACCACATTGTAACAATAACGGGATCAGAATGCGTTTAGTATGCATTTTTGGGGTGTTTCTTTCGACTGTCCGGTTAGCGCTCTGGCTTCCGATTCCCTCCAAAAAAAATTCCAATCTACCTTAGCAAGTTTCTGTCAGCGTGTCCAGGAAGCTTCTTCCGTTTTCTTCAGGAAGTTCAATTAAACTTCTCCCAGAAATTTCTTTCGTCTAGTTCTGGAATTTTGTCCAGTTGGTTTTTTTTACTTCCGGATTTTTTCACTAAAAGTTTCTTTAAATTTTCGCCAGAAGATTCTAAATTTATGTTTTGGAAGTTCCGCGGATGTTTTTCCGACTTCTCTCAGAACTTTCCTCGAATTTCCTCCAGCAGAGCTTCTTTCTTCATTCTCTGGATGTTGTATTCAGCTTCCTCCAGAAGCTAATTCAAACATTCTCTGGAGTTTTCTTCCGGAATTTTTCGATCATAGTCCAAAAGTTAAAACTTTCGCTTTCAGAAACGGCAAAAATATAAAATTAATTAAAATAGTAAATACCGATAAATACCGATTTTTTAAAAACCTTTGATACCGATAAGCTTTAAAACATTCTGGCAACGCTGGTGCCAAGGGCAATTTTTTTTTAACGAAGAGTGCTCTCCGGGATTCCATGGACTTTTGCGGCTCGACGAACCGAAAATCCTCCATATCCATAGCCAGAACAATGTGTAAATGTGTAAATAGTAAATACCAATAAATTACCGATTTTTTAAACATTTGATACCGATAAGCTTGAAAACAATCTGGCAACGCTGGCAAGACCGTTGCTTGAGAGTGAACGGATTATGTGGCACTTTACAACTGGTTTTATCCTGGGTCTGGCGGACTCGTAATGGATATCGAACCAAATTTGAACTGTCAAAATCGAACCATTCGAATTCGAACTATCGAACCACTGTTCTTATAAGAACTCATATGGAAGAAACAGATAGGGAGTACTGTAATCTGAGTAAAACGTAGTTGTTATTATTTTTGGAAACATATTCATAGTTTTGATGATGATGCAAGATGCAAGAAACGATCCTTCGGAAAGCGAAATAAACTTCTCTTCACCGGTGCACTTGCAGTGTAGCTGCAAAACTTTGCGTAACATCGCATTTTAACTGCTTAGAAACTTTTATGAAAACCAAATATTATTGATACAGTAGAAAACCGGAAAATTCGACACGCGCCAATCGATTTTACTCTCAATCTGTACATAAAACATAACGTCGGACATAGTGCGCTGTATTTGTACAATGATGCGCCATAATGCACACCATGTCCGACGCTTTGTTGTTGTACAGAACGAGAGTAAAATCGAAAGACGGATGTGGGGTTTGCCGGTGTCAAACGCGACCGACAATAACAACGAACTACAACAGACTACAACTACCAATCGATATTTCAAGAGAGTCACTCACAATCTTGCACACATTTGCTTTGTGTTTATCAATTTGACAACCGTTCGAACAGAGTAAAGCTTGCTGCAATGCGTCTTGGATAGTGTCTGAAGCTGGCTGCGATTCGACTTCGCCAGACCCAGGTTTTATCAATTCAATTCTGCTTCGACAATTTGTCATAGCTAAACCTGTTTTAAAACGTAAAATCAGTGCCCTCTGTGATGCACAACTTTAAACCAAAGATTCAAGATAATTTGCGAGATCAACCGAATTGCAACATGTTTTCCGAAAAGACTTCCAGATGATGGATGGATTTTACAATTTCTACCGGATGTTTCATTCGGTAAGCATTTTAGCAGCGTGAAGAAATCGGATGCTGCACCGCTTGGGAACAAATTGAACAATTTTCACGCTAATCACTAGAACGCTAAGAACAATGTCACAATTTCATGCCTACATAATCTTGTGTACTAGATGGCGCCGGTGGTTGCGTGGCAAGCGTGACTGCTTTCTCCCCTCAGTAGGTCTGAGTTCAATCAAAACCGAGGTGAACAAAATCTAGGGTCACGTCTTCGCTGGGTCCGATACGTTCCAAATGTTGAAGTCACATCCCCTCGATTACCGTCAATGAATAATCACCATTTGGCAATCGACGAATGCAATCTCTAGTAATGGAAAATTCCCTCAAATATATTCAAAACCCCATAAAAAACACCACATTACAAGCTCAGTTATTATCAGCTTTACGGAAAAATCAAATAAGCAATAAGTGGGCCCCTTGACCAATCCAAACAAAACAAACCAGAGCACCACCATCATACCGATATCGAATCGAAAGCAATCGTCCGCAGCTTCTTCTTTCATTATCACCTCACCAGCACCATCATCGAAGCAAGCGACGGCGGCATGTGGCTCTGTTACGCATCTGCAAACAGGTTGATCATCATCATAGTAGGCTACCGTATCATCGGAGCACAGAAAGCCCAAGGTTGCACTCGCTGCTGCTGATTGTAGTACTCTTTAATTGAAGCGCAGAAGAAGAAATTGCAACAGAAGATAATTGGGAGACATTGTTTTTCGGCGAATTATGCAAACATTAAAAGCGAAAAAATACGTTATGTAAATCAAGCAGATATCGACGTGCCAAAGGTTGACCCAGATGTAAACCGATGCCATTAGCTGAACTGAAATACTGCTTCGGCGATTACAGATGATTGCGTTTCCGAAACCATTCCTAGCTTTTGGAATATGTCGTTAATCTCCTTTTTACTTCCTTCTCGTCCGTAGGTTTTTGTAGTACTTTTCGCCCTTGTGGCATGCTCCTCGGCGACGTTTGATTCGCTGTTCGGCGGCGGAAGAGGTGGCGGCGGCGGCGGCGGCGGTGGTCTCGGCGGACTGAGTGAACTGTTCGATATAGAGGGACTGCTGAGCGGATTGCTCGGCGGTGGAGGTGGTGGGCAGTCCAAGGGTCCCCGACCGTCGTATGGTCCTCCCCCACGGCCCGCCTATGGACCACCACCACCACGGCCGGCCTACGGACCACCACGGCCAGCCTACGGACCACCACCGGCAGCTCCTCCACGACCGGTCTATGGACCTCCTCCACAGGCACCGCCACGCCCAGTTTACGGGCCGCCACCGCGCCCGGTTTACGGACCGCCTCCCCCAGCTCCAGCTCCAGGTTAGTCACCGGATCATCGCTGCAGCTCTGCATGAAAGCCGATAATTCATTCCAACTCGATACTAACCATGTGCTAACTCATTCTCCTTTCCCCTAACAGCATTTAGAGTTCCTCCATCTGATCGTTTCCCAGGTAATTCCATACATTCGCTGCGACATTCTCAGTAGAATGTTCGCTGTAGTCAACATTTATTAACTAGATAATTGTTCATATTTCTGTTTAACTCATAATCATTTTCGCTAACATCGTAGTTCTACCACCGCTACCGGTCAATCGTCCTCGATCACCTCCTCCAGGTAGGTTCCCATGGCAATCGTAACATGCTTCTAAAATCGAACCCTTCATAGCCAACTACTGTTAGGGGATTTTTTTATCGGCAGGAATCTAATTAAATTATAATCACACGTACGAAAAAAAAAAATTAAAAAAAACTTTGCCCGGGAAATTTTAGATGAAGTTCGCGAGCTTTCCCTGACATCACTAACTTTGAAAATTAATAACTCATAATCGTAGAAAAAATCGTAAGAAGTTTTCAAGCATGAACAAATCATTGGAAAAATTCGCATTATCCTGACAGTGGTTTTTCCTAATTTTCCTTCTGATTTTCCTTCACCGTGAATCACATTTTTTTAGATTTTTTATGGAAAATCCGAAAACCTCTTCTCAAATTTTCCGAGAAAATCAACCAGATTGTTTTCCCATAAACTCTACCTGTGGGCAAAATTTGATAAAATTCCGAAAATTAAAAAAATCCCCATTGCGTACCTATATTTCGGTGTAACTAAATTTTACTAATTACAACTCCGTTTCGTAGTTTATGGACCACCACCAGTACACCATGCGCCACCTGCTCCTGGTAAGTCATGTCGAATCCAATATTTTCCCAGCCCTGACCATCAATTTTTTTCCCAATCCTATTTTACAGTGTACGGTCCTCCTGCTCACCATCAACCGGCTCCTTCTCACTGTAAGCATAGACGTCTTGGCCAGTTTGTGCAATACGATTTTCATTCCGTATCTCTCCTTCTCTCGCTATTCAGCTTATGGACCTCCTAACTACTCTCCCCCGGCTCCAATTTACCAACCAGCTCCAGCTCCAGTCCACCATTCACCGCCAGCCCCAGTCTACCAACCAGCTCCAGTCTACCACCAACCAGCTCCAGTCTACCACCAGCCAGCTCCAGTCTACCACCAGCCAGCTCCAGTCTACCAAGCACCTCAGCAAATCCCACATCAGGAGTACGGACCACCTCAGCAAGTCCCACATCAGGAGTATGGACCTCCACAGCATGTTCCAGCTCCAGCTCCTGTCTATGGACCACCCCAGCAAGCTCCTACTCCATTCTATGGAGCACCCTCAGCTCCAGCGGCTCCTCAGGTGATCACGATCGTCCAACCACCACGAACTGAATACCTGCCCCCAGAGCAGATCCAGCAGCTCCCTCTGCAGGACACCAACGTCAACTTCCACGGCGTGAGCTCGAGTGCGGTTGCTTCCGGCAGTGTCACCGGCGGCGGTGACTCCGGCTATCACTACGGGATCGGCCATTGATCGGACAGTTAGAACCAACTAGCGTAGAGCGGACCACAAGCATTATCTCATTCTCTCTCATTTTTGCGGAGAGAGCGAGAGAGGAATCCAATGGCACACACACACACAAAAACAAAACACACTTAGCTAGGATTGTGCAATACCAAAAAAGGTTAAATTCAACATATTTTACGTTAAGAAGCCGAGGACTTTCCCATTACCTCACCCCCAAGTCTTTTCAAATTACGACCGGATCCCAACGAACTTAAAATGATTTCTGTTATAGATTTTATATGTAACAAACAAACAAAACATCTACTGCTAGTCACTTTCCGGATTTTAACCTCAATCTGACCGATTTACGGTTGAGAGTGTTACTACACACTAAACACAAACAAACACACACACACACTTTTTGGAACCAGTGACTCACCAGAGAGGGAATTCTTAGTTCAAAACCATTTGTTTTAGCTTTAAATCTAAACTAAAATAAAAATTAAAAACGTAAACCGAAGCCGAGCGCAAACGTCAAACGCCGTTTTCTCCGAGAGGAGGAGCATCCAACGGAAAACGGAAAAATGTACTACAAAGAAATCGTACCTTAACTTAGGAAAACGAATACACCCAATTTGCTCAATTTGCGTGCATTAGAAGCTATGTAGCAGATTCGATTCCGCCCGAATCGTTCTGCCGGTAAAATTTGTTCACTTCTACACCCGCACAGTCAAACACCAAACGCACACACGCACACACACTGCTATAAATTAATTTATGTAATTGTAAATTAATTTTAGGACGCGTCGTTTATCGAACAACCGTATGTTTTTTGTATTAACTCGTTTACTATGTAGTAGTCATGGTCAACAGCGAACGAGACCAAACCGCGGTCAGCAACAGAGAACGAACAGAATTTGATAGTAGGAAAGGCGCAGGTTAGGCCCTTTCATTCAATATAGGAAGAAGAAGAAGAAAAATATATCTCTGAATGCCATATTTAAGATGAAGAAAACTTATTGAAGGAAACAAGGGAGAAGAAACAAACAAAAAATTAAACATTTATCGTGTACAGAGAGACGGAAATGATAAGTCGAGAAACATTTTAATAAAAATTAAAAAAAAAACTTGCATTTGTTAAACATTTGTATCCGATAAAAACAAACGACGTAGAATACGCTAAACGGTCCCTGACTGGAAGCAGCGATTTGAATGTTTTTAAAATTCCAACTAATCAAAGGCAAGATTTGTTCCACGCCAAACGACGAATCGATCTGACGCGACCTCATGAAACAGAGCATAATTCTCGCGTCACTTTTCAAATAGACCAATGTAACATATCCACCATTTTGAGAAAATCGAAGTTGAAGATCGACAGATTATTATTTTAACTGTTTAAAAACAATACATTTTGCATTACTATTTTTAATGTAGTCAGCATACAATAACGTTGAAAATTCAGAAGAAACAGTAAAATCACAATTTTACTTTGAATTTCATGCTACAACATAGAAAAAATCACATAGGACGTTTTGACAAGTCGAGTTGTACATCGGACATGTTACATTGGACGATTTTTCTCAATGACATAATCAATGAGTGTTACATTGGACGTTTTGTCTAAATGATACTAGATTCCCTTTCACAGATTTCAGAGTATAGTACCTAACTTTAGATTGGCCCCGCCTTTGGAAAATGAGCACCAATCATGTTAGGCAGTCCGAATGACCGAAGTAACAATCATGTACCCATCATTTCAAACTGTACATTGGACAATTTTTGATCAATGATTATCTTAAATAAATGAAAGTAAATTTGGATGGATGTTTTTGTATCACATACAATGATAGAAGAGCAATAGTTTGTATCGCTTAACTCGATTTGTTTACATTTGTTACATTGGTCTATTTGAAAAGTGACGCGAGAATTGTTTTGTCGAGTAAATGCAACGCATAGAATGCCTTGACTTTTATTTTATTTTACTAGTCTTCGAACTGATCGTACAGACAGATATTGCTATTCACTAATCCTATTTCTAAACATTGTCTTAGATATATTAAAGTCAAAAAGGACAAATACTTCATTAAAACGACGATAACAAACATCAAACGGATGGTCCATAAGGAGTACGGTGCACAGGAAGGCGGAGAAAATCTGCACGCCGGATCGTTCTTCTGACCGGAATGTTTACATTTATATTGCTCAGCAGTACTGAGCAGTCTACGTTGCTCTTCAAGATGTCGAATATAAAAAGCCACTGCAACAGGATCCTCCTACTAGCCAAGGTCGGTAGATGTATCAAGGCGCAGCGATGCTCGTAGGGTGGTAATCGAAACGGATCATTCCACGGAAGTAACCGAAGTGCAAATCGAAGAAAGTACCTTTGAATACGCTCGATCCGGTTAATCTGAACGACATGGTATGGCGCCCACACCAGCACTCCATATTCAAATATTTCAAATTCTTGTTTTCTCCATACATTTTCGGAAAGAGAACTATATTAGAACGTTTTTACTTATGGTTTGAGAACATTAATGGTTATGGTTATGGTAGTCAGTAAGGCCCATGAATGGTTTTGTAACATCGATCAACTTTATGTGGAATATATCGCGAATTGGTTGCCTGTAAATTAATAATTATTCCATGAGCCATGAGCCTACAACTTAGAGAGATTTGCTGCTGGGGGAACGTCCAGTACCGTTTTTATCAAGAAAAGCCGAAGTCGAAATCGATCAGAGCTATCGAAAACGAAAGTCTTGGCAAAAATGATGGCAAACAAAAAGCTGCAGTTACACTGTTATTTTTTTACTTGTAAGCTTTCCGCTTGACAGCTAATATCAGATCAAGTTATACTTCCCCTAGGGTTTTATGTTTCAAACGCATACTGTGTAACCTCTTCTTGTAAGTAGTAAAATATGTCATCATACCAGCTTTTGGTTTTATTATTCCGAAAAACATTATTTTAGCTGAAATGAGTATTTGCAACCGTGCTTGAGGCACACCAGATGTGATATCGAATAGGTCAGAGCTCGTTCCATAAAGGCGAACGTAGGCACTGCGCTCAGTTAGGTAGGAAAATATCCAGCGAGTCAACCAGGCGGGTAGGCCCATTCTGTCCAATTTGTCCACCGCCAAAAAATGCGGCACTCTATCGAACGCTTTAGAGAAGTCTACATAGATGGCATCGGTTTGTTGTCTCATTTCCAGTGCGTTGACCAACAAGGAAATATATGCCATCAGGTTGGTAGTAGTAGAGCGTTTTTTCACGAATCCGTGCTGGAATTCGGAAATAATATGATGAACGTGTGGATAAAACGAATCGAAGACGGGGCTTTCAAAAATCTTTGGCAAGCAGCTCAAAATTGATATGCCACGGTATAGTTCTCTAAGTTGTGGATACTATCAGCTTTATGTATGGGAGTAATGGCAGCAGTTTTCCAAGCACTCGGAAAAACGCCTTCCGCCATGGAACGATTAAAAATAATTGTGGCGGGAACGGAAAGCGAAACGGCGCAGTTCTTGATAAACAGTGGTGAAAGACGATCTGGTCCGGCGCCTTTGGATTCGTCTATCCCTTGAAGTTTGCTCAGCACATTTTCCGGAGAAAAGTCGAGAAGCGCTACGTTCAAATCATACCGAGGCAAACTGTCTAAGTACACTTCAGACGGAGGTGATCGGTTATTACTTAGCACACCCCCTTTACAGCACAGATCAATTTCTTCAGTTTCAATTATACTGCCAACTAATAAAGACGTAACTTTTAATTGTAGTTCGAGTTAGTCATTCAAAGTCCAGTCCGATCCTTCTTATTTATGCCGATATGTTTGGGCAATTTGGATACGTAATTTTGAATATTTTTTTTTTTGCGAGATTCAAATGTGAATGATTGCCTATAATAAATTATGCAAAGTTTCATGTAAATCGCAGAAGGTCGAGTCTGTTATTAAGTTTTTTTTTCTATTCGGCCTGGAAATGCTCAGTAGTCAAAAGGTGTTAACGGTTAGTTGCATATTTTTACTATACTCAAAAAGCTTTTTCCGGTTAGCGCATGTTTAGTGTATGAGGAAATGGCACCTATTCTTCATTTGTACAATTTGAAATTAAGCATTGTCTTGGTTTATCAATATTACAAAACAACTTACTTACCGTATGCGTGATAATGTTTGCACCATCGTACAAATAAGGTTGACGTTTCACCTGTGCATACAATGCCTTGGTTTTCTTTGCATGCACGTAACCTACAGCTCATACCGTAGTAGGCTGTGTATAAAAGAAAATGATTTACTTAGTTTGACAGTTGCACCATGACGAAGTGGCAGCGTATTCGTGATTTTGTCCCACGCGCAAATGTCGCAAAAAGACATTTCAATCGCCAGTGGAGTGTCCCAGTGAACCGTAAAAAGGGTTTTAGACCGAGAAAAGAAAGGACAACTATCCGCGATGGTGGCCACAGGTCGTCCGAGGTTCCGACGCTCAGTCTCCTTGAAGGCTATAGCTATCGGATATATACTACACGGATACCCACTATCCCCGAGCAGATTGTATCCAACCGGAGGGTACAAACGTCGATAGTACAGAGGACTAAATTATACATTACCCTCGTATCGTGAACCGATCCTGGGTATCCCACACAAATGTCAATAAATTTGAAGTTGCTATCGCACACCGCCTGGCATTGAATGGAGTAATTGAGCTTCCGGTTGACGTACTGGTCATGCAGAGCAGGAGGACACTTTATGCGTACATATGACCCATCAATCGCACCAGCCGCTCGTTCAAAAATACAAGTGTTAGCTCGATTACAAAAACGTTACGCAATTTCACGCAATTCGAGCTCAGTTGGGTACTTTATTACCTGCATCATTAGAACGTCGACGCAAAACCAGTGATGGGCAAAACACCGGTACAGCACCGGTACGGTTTTCTAAAGCATAACCAATGTGCTGATCTGTTGTACCGAGTGTATGGTGCTGCTGTCGGTTCGGTTTGGTAGTTGCAAGTAACACCGCACCGTGTTCACCAGTTCGCTGCACACGGTGCGGTTCTGATTTTCCAGTACCGGTGTTCTGTGTTCACAAGGATGATGTTTTGAATTCGAGAACCGATCCGGTACTGTTGTGTGTTTATGT